AACGCGATATTTTCTACACAGTTCTATAAACTCAAACTCGGTGTCATCGCTAAAATAGAAAGCTGAGAAAACGACTTCGAGTACGAGTACGGCTAGAAGTCGTTCTCGCACTCGTACTCGTTGTTGATGCAAACATCCTCTATTATTGCAGTCGTTTACATGAGAGCCGGACGAAACGCTCCGTTGATTACATGAGACCGGTACAAACTCAAAAACAGGAGATTCTTGTAGCTAGATAACTTTCTTAAGTCGATTATTTAACATATTATTCACTAACTGGTCACCTGACTGGTACACAATTTAAATGTACAGCATCTCAAAATGGTGCAATCCCTCACATTAACCGAAGCATATATTCATGACAACGGTACAGTCTCAGACCGGTAAGAACATAACTCGTGTCGGGACAGCGACCGACACGAAGTCAGACCGCTCTGAGTTCGTTTTAGGCCGCTCCAAGAGAGAATGATCTAAGAGAGCGAATACCCCTATACATGACCCTCTTCCCATGAAAATTATTTTTTTAATCTATGCTTGGTCAGTGTCATACTGCGTGGTTATTTTTAAGGACGCCACCTTAGTGGTCGGTTAGAGTGGTGTCATGCATGTAATTTTAAACTTCGCAGGTAAATCATTTCACTGCCGATCACACACAGCAAGCGATATGACATGCAAAAATACATGTAGTGCTTCGTACACTCCGTGTAGCGTAGTACATACAGCGAACTTAGAGATCACGCAGGGTGTCTAGTGCTCGCTTAAAGAGATAGCAAGGGGTCACAAGAGGTCGCTTACAAAGGTTTCTAACGATAGGGCTTCCTGTGGGAAAATTTGGTGTTTCGGATAGATTTGTCTCCTATGGGAGCTGGTAGACTGAGAGCAGCCTCTTATTTCTCTTTTGAGTCACAGTATATCAAAAGCACGCGTGAGAGGGGATCCGATGGGGTACTTCCTATAATTTGCTGTACGGGGAGGATCCGCCCGAAAGGGGTACCTTTTTCGGGTACATAAAAGGGTAGGGATTTGACGAGTTGAGGTACATGGAAGGGAAAGGAAATCTGCTACTCGGTGTATAAAGAACTGAAAGGGCTAACAAATGGTTTGAAAGGCTGTGTAGAATCAAGAAAACTACCTGCCTTACTGATTTATTCATATTTAAAAGAAGACAGTGAATTCACAGCAGTTAAAAGGGATGTAGTGTTCTAGGCTAGATATGTGAAAGGGGTGCGATTTGTTAATAGAAGGTATATGAAAAGGGTAATTTTTCTGTCAAAAAAAGTACGATGAAAACGCTAAGGGGTTGAACCTCAAACGGAGCCTCTGCGTATAAAACGTAATTGGGTTTGCCCCCTCCCCCTCCGGAGATGGGAGCGGTGAAGCCGCGTAGGAGCGAGCCAAAATTAATTTGCATAATTTTACCTTTCACTCGCCGAGGGTGGCTCTAAGGAGTTCGTGCCACTGGTCACCCTAGATAAATGTATTTTTAATGTTTCAGATCGTTAGACAGTTTACATGCCAGTTTAATACATTGGAACTTTAGACATGTCCCTTAACTCGAAACGATAATTGATCCTTGGTGCATGAGGATCAGTGGTAACTACTTACAGGAGGTACATTTACAAAGAATATTTGTCGCACTTTCAGCAATCCGGAACATCACTTATCTCCTGTCGATTAGTGGGAAATGAAATGAAGAATCCCCTCACAAATACCAGGAATAATAATAAAAATGATATGGAGCTAGTTTGACTGTTGTATCAGGCTATCTACGTTAAATCGCACATTTCCATGGTCCCGGGGGTAAGAAAAAAGTCGGTACTAATGAATCACCAACTTTCTTTATTTTTATTTCATCTAATACTACATGATGCCATTTATTGAGTGTTATATTATTTCCCTTTTACTCGTACTAGGACCATTGCAGTAATTCTTGCTTGTTTTTACTTTAGATCCTCGTGTTGAATGGTGCCGATGTGGTTAGCTTTCTTTTAAAATTGACCCCTTAAAATTTAAAAAAAAGGGCTTCCGTTACGGTGACTTCAATCTTTAAGTTCCTATCGCACGAAGATTTTCCAAAAATCACATTACACACATAACATTACAATCGTCGCATTCCCACCTGCCAGACGGTTCAAGAAGCCAGTGGTAAGCCGCATTTTACACAAGCCTCGATTTGATGGTAATTTTTTCAAAAATTTTTAACGGAGTAGAACAGTGCCCTAAAACGTTTCCGAATATTACGAGCAATTCCTGGAACTCGACAGTAAATAGAAGCCAGGCTTTGTTGTATTTATTTAATAAATAAATTGCTCCAGTCATTTAGAGGTCTTCTAGATAACCTGAGATCAGGCTCTATTTTCGTTTCGCTTTGAAAATTACATTCCGGCGGGCAAGGCGAAACGAAAAGAGAGCCTGATACAAACCTTTAACGAAATGTCTGCCGCCCACTTTTTTGATTGATTGACATTTGCCGAATCAGCCAATCAGAATTACTTCCGTTGCTTGTTTTTCTAGTATGCAAATTTTTCACGCGTGGGAAAAATTCAGACTGGCTGACTTTAAAAATAGCTTTTATCTGTTAATTTTTTCGGCTAAAATTAAAACAGTCAGTACAATCACATTTAACTTCTTGGATCTCGAAGGTTACTTCTGTTGGCTTAGAAGGTAAAAAGTTCTTGAAAAGACGGCAACACGATGTTCTACTAGTTTTATTATTTTGGCTTGGCGCTCTGGAATTTAAAATACTGAAATCTCTACTTTTCCGGTGGCTTGATATTTTCCTCGGCAATTTCCCCCGATTTTCAGTACATAAATCTTCAAAAACAAAAGCAAACAGCCAACGAGTGAGGACACCAGTTTTCTTGGTTTACTTTTAAAAAAAGCGTAGTCATACAACCTGTCTGTGAACACTGAAAATTCCTTGAACAGCGATGCGATATTTTTCGTCTAATACTTCACAGTTGGCGATTGAGGTTTCTTTCGCAGTGAGCCTCCGCTTGCGTTCCCCGTTCAGAGAAGTCATTCCCGGCTAAACTTTCAAATGAAACCAGTTTTAAGATGGACAGTATTTTGATTTGCACCCGTTTGTTGGTAAATCAAAATGCACCTTGTTAGCGGTCAACAACTTGCAGAGGGATTCAACTCCGCGATACACTCACTTTCCGTAAATAAAGCAAATCCTGAGAAGATATGAACAACCACATGAATTTTCTGAATTTCTATGGCACATATTAAGGCATATTTTCCTACCATAAGACCATGAAACAATAAAAAAGACAGCAAAATCGATCCTTCTCTCCACCGACGACGGATCATTCACGAAAACAACCACGCGAGGAATAAGCGCATTCAACTTCCGGCGTTTCCGACAGCCAATCAGATCTTGTGGCATTGTTCTAACAGCCAATCAGCGTTACGGCCAAAATCTGGCCGTAACGAGCACAAACTTGTAATAGTTTGTATCAGGCCCAATTTCAGCGGTGGCCGTTAGAGAGAATGTATGAGAACCGCTCAAATTGGGCCTGATCTCAGGTTATCTTCTAGAAAGTGTGACAAGGTTTGTTCTAACTTGGAAGTAAAACATTTTTATACACGACGGAAGCAACGACTGAAAATGATTTGATACGCTTGCAAAGCGTTACTACTATAGTATGAGACCAGTTTACTATTGAACTCGACCGGAAATTCACTCTTTCACTCACTCCATTGCTCGCGTGCTCTTAACTTTATCGTGGAGGTTTCAGCCAAATAGTACGCTGATTTACTGTCACGGATTCTTATACAATGTAGCTCGATATAAACACTTATTTTCGTTCAAACTTTAGCTTTTATCGATCGCCTTCGTGTCGTGAAGCGTTAAATGAACAGTTATTTGTAACGGGTAATTTCGTGAAAATCAACAATCGAAACAAACTGCAACACATTCAAATTATTTGAAATGTCATGGTTTACTCGCAACACTTCACTTTCCATTGGAAACTACTAGCAACATACAATTTGTTCATTAATTCTCTTTTGTGGGCTGTTTTTCTCGGAGTAGTCCCATAACGTTTTAAGGCATTCTATTCCGTTCAAAATTTAAAAAAAAAATTACCATCAAATCGAGGCTTGTGTAAAATGCGGCTATTTTTGAAAGCATTTGAACTAGAGCTGGAGTGTCTGTAAATTAAAAATGAGGTAATAGCCCGTGTCCGTGGTCTAAAAAAAGGCAAGACGTACCCTCGTCAGCTTGTTCGATTTTCCTAGTATGAGCAATCTATAAAGAAATGGATCGCATTTTGTCTTGGCACTGATAAGAAGTTTGAGTCCATGAAAAACGTAACGTCCATATGATACATGCCCCGAGCATTTCGAGATAAAAAAAAAAAAACCTGAAGACCTTGTCTGGAACCAAAAAGTCACCTAAAGGGACAGTTCAGACCGTTTTGTAACCCAAAATGAGAAACTCGTGGATACGTGAAGCTTGTTTAACGGGCATATGCAGGTCATTTCAAATCAAAATATACTATTTTCTTTTACCACTTGACTTTTCTATTTTTTGAGCAATTTATCCGCAAGTTTTACATAGTTTTTACTTTAAGTTAAAGACTTTTCGTCGTCGCACTTCCTAATCACAATTTCTCTCCGATCAGTCGGTTGCAGATGCACGGAATTACTCCCTTTGGAAAGAAGTAAAACAAGCTGGGAAGTTCGCTTCACGGCTGCGGCTGCTACCTAACCTAAATTCCATTTTTCGTCAGGGGAAGAGTAAACCACACATCACTGAATTCCCCATTTAGTTAGTTTTTATTGTTTCGGCAATGTCATTCCACAAAATGCTCTACAGTTTCCTAACTACTACAAGGATCTGACAAATACCTCATTAAAGCCGTCCCTGGTTTTTACTCTAGACACCGGTGCAAATAATAGTGTCGATCTGTTTATCTACGCCGTGAAAAATAAACCCCGTCAACGTTTAGTGAGGCTCTCGCTACGGTGACCTCGACTTATTAAGTTTCTATCTAGCGAACGAATATTTTCCAAAAATCACCAGGGGACACTCCAACATGAAAATCGTCGCATTCCCATCTGCTAGATGACTGAAAATTCCAAAAATAATTCCCCACTCCTTGACGAGGGTAGTCCCATACAAAAGCAGTGTGGAAGGATAATCTATCCTGATCTCTTTCATGGCCCCATTTGCCAACTTTATAATAACCATTTTCCAATCCCCAATGTTGGCAGAGTCTTGCTAACCGCGAGTTATCATTGCTCATAATCACAAACGAGCCACATGAAGAGGGTATCACATCTGTCTCACCACTAAGATATTTGACAACTGCTTCGCCTTTGCTATTAGCAGCCGTGGTGATGTGAAATGTGCGACCTCCTCTTTTCTTGCAGTGGAATCTGATCTGAGAAAAATGCAAGTGCTTTCTCAGCTCCTTCATGGCGCTTTTTGTGAGTACCATCTCTTTGCTGCTTACTCCGCGGTACGATGTCTTAACTGGCAACTGAGTGGGAGATGAACCGTGGGAAACAACGTTGGATACAAGAAGCCATCCCCCTGAAATTCAATCAGTTTTCATCAGCCATGTGTTCACTCCCGCGAACTAAGATATCCGTGATTCGGTAAGCAGATGCTAACAGTCTTTCAAGTTGACCCCGAAACGAGGCCTGGCACAAACAATGCATATTTTGTGAACTTATTTTATAAAATAAGACCAGGATAAAAGAGGTGTCAGCTGCAACTCAAACCTTACCTCCGTCAGTTTTCATGTCACAATACGCCTTAAAAGGCCTTTTAGTCCTTCCAGGGTCAATCCAGTACTCCCCGTCTCTATTAGAGGTACCTAAGTCCTTGATTTCTTTGCAGGATTGAGCGGGATCGTAGGAAACGAGCCCGCGTGTCGCTACAACAAGATAGATATCAACATTAGAGATTAACTTTGAAGAATTGTTGTTTGAAAAAAGTTTGCAAAGCTTCTATGGAGAAACGAGAATTTCACTTTAATCTTCGTGTAAACTCAAGGTGAAAATAAAAGAAGAAAACGTGGTTGATATAATGGTCAAGGAAAGAATTAAAAAAAAAACTTAAACAATTCGCCTGCGTAAAATGAAACTAAAGAAAAGTGAAGATAGTTTCAAAAAGCTCAATTACTGAATTAATAAAGCCTGCAATCGTTTTCAAAGAGACTTATAATCTATGGTACTAATATACAGGTACATATGCCATCGGCTTCCCGGATCTTGCGTCATTCATTCAGAAGAGCAGTGATTGCTGTTGCTGGAGGTAACTTTGAGTTGAGTCTATTAGGGAGGAAAATCATTAAAGAATAATTGCATGAGGACAGTTTCCCTGGCTTAAGCCCGTTGATGTAGGCTAATTTCAGTTCATAGCTAAGAATCCATGACAAATGTGTTTAACTAATAAAAGCAGACAACGCGATAATTGCGTGTGCCATTGAGATATTTATACCTTTACACTTCTCGCCATCTCCCTTGTAACCAGGTTTACACGTGCAAGTGAAAGACCCTTCAGTGTTCTTACATAACTCATTTCTGTCACAGTTATGGATTTTGCTTGTACACTCGTCGATATCTAAAAAACAAAGACAAACATAAATTGCATTTATTTTACGTTTACAAGGCAGGTATATTTAACTTTAAAAATTCTTTCTTGACATTCTCCTCTTTTAACTCTACGTTACGGATCATGCTACTGCGGATATGGCGGGGTTACAAAGTTACATAGCCCAGTTGTTCAAAAGCTGGATAAACAGCCATCCAGTAGATAACGCAATTAGTTTCCCTAAAACGTATCCACTGGGTAGTGATTTATCCGATGCAAAGTGCTATCCAACGTTTGAACTGACAACCGGTGCCAGGGAGAATAATTACAAGCAATCGGATGAGCGAGTGTGCATCTTTGGTTATTAGAACTTAGGGTGGATTTCCACTGCCGCGTAATATTTACGTGAGTATGCGCGTAAAATGAACGCGTGTAAAGTTTAGCAAGGGTCAACTTTTACCTTTACGCGCGACCTTTCATACATAACCCTTATTTTACTTACGTACGTAAAACTAACGCGCTCACGCAGTCACGTAAAAATTACGCGATAGTGCAAACCAACCTTTAATTATAGAGTGCTAGATAGCTACCTCTACACTTCCTTCCATCTCCCTTGTAACCGCGATTGCAGGTGCAAGTAAAGGACCCCTCTGTGTTCTTACATAACGCATTTCTGTCACAGCTATGGGTTTTGCTCTTACACTCGTCGATATCTATAAACAAAGACAAAATTATAAAACATTGATTTCATGCGCCGAAAACAACAAGGCAATACCTTCCTTGACATTTCCTTCCGAATTTCCTTTATTTACACCCCTTGGGGCTTTTTATTGTCTTCAGTCTGAATTGGGGCGACCTTGAGGCCTAAAAGTGAAATTTTCATTTTCGTGTTTTTTTTTTAATCATATCAAACTATAACGTTATAATTATTACCAATGAAATTCTTAAAGTCAAACCAAATATGTCCCCAAACGGAAGTACACCTACCAGTTTTCGTAATTGTTTTAATTGAAAGAATGAAAATTCGTGTAAAACGTTGCTCCATACATTAGTACAAGTATTCTTATAATGCTCAAAATCCATCCACTTAAGGTTGGTGCCGCCTTAGACTGGAGGCTTATTAGAAAGTTTCGACTACTAAAGATAGAGAAAAAATAACAGTACTGTACATACACAACAAAGCATACTTATCTAGTCTATAAATAAACTCAACACTCAGTTTGCGAAGCAAAAGGGCAGACTATATGTTTGCTCAAAATCCATTAAATACCCTCTAAAGGTTGGTGGCTTATTGTTGCCGCTTTAGACTGAGAGTTTATAACAAATTTAAGACTACAATAGATAAATGAAAAACTTAATTACAGCGCTTTACATATACAGTATGATGTCTGCGAAAAGATACTAAAGACACGTAAACTACTTTTTTTAATTAACAAACAACATCAGAAAAGAATGAATTCAGTCAGTTTGCGAAGTTTTAGTGGAGAACAAAATATGGACGATGTCTAAAAGCAATCATCACTACTTACCAACGCATTTGCGGCCATTTCCAGAATATCCAGCTTTGCAAGTACATTTGTATGAGCCAACGGTATTCTGGCAAGCAGCATTCACATTACATCTGTGATAGTTAGTTGTGCATTCGTCAATTTCTGAAAGAAATCACGGCGCTTCATTCACTCACATGTTCTATTGTTGATCGATGACCTTGCACGTGTTTATTTTCTAAAATGATATTCTCAACTTGAATTTATGAAAAACTCTTGAAAAGAAAAAAAGGAAATTACTTTGAATTTGTCAAACACTGGACACAATGCTTTCATCTCACGTTATGACACCTTAACAACTGTCGAATAAGCTCGGTCGCGTGCCCATTTTTTCCTTGATACATTCGGTCAGGTTTGAAACATAAATTGAAGCAAAGTTAATAAAAGTGGAGTGGCTTCGAAGCCCTACAAACGTCTTTATTATACCAGTATATGTTTTTTTGGTTACCTTTTTTGGACTTGACCGACGTTGTGAAAAGTTCAATAGCATTCCTATCATTTGGATCCTTGTCACCAATAAAATCGTAGCCTGTGTACAGACGCCCTCCTCTCCTCAAAAAAGGGGGACAGGGGTCTGTACACAGGCTATAAAAACATTGCATTAATTTATTCATTCGCATTTTATGAGAAAAAAAGAAGATAGCTACCAACATAAACTGCAGCACCTTTGTTAAAATCTTAAGCTTTGATTCCGTTTGCCAGCTTTCATAACCAGTGTTCTCTACTATGACTGAAAGAAACACTACATTCATGCGCGCTAGCATTGGATGGTTTTTTTTGTTGTTTTGGCTACATTTCTAGCATAAAATATTGAAGTGAACCACAACCCTTTGCAGAAGATATATAAGATTACCTCAGGTGCCAACTAACAGATCATTTAATGTAAGTTGTAAAACGGACCTGATGACCGCTTTTACCTTGAAGACAAGTAAAGTTATAGCAGTTATGGCAAGACACATCGTTCCATGTGTAGCCATTATTGGCACCCAGAGTGTGAACACAGTCTTCGTTTTTCCAGTTGTTTGGTTGTTGCGGAGCCCAGAACCGAAAACTGGTTATTTCCTTGTTTGTCCAGACAAATGATCCCTCAACGCTTCGGTCATTAAGTCCAATCCATGATCGCTCTCCATTATGACGGTGCTGTATGTAGACATTTTCTTCTTGGTTGTGCACTGTTACCAGATGTGAGTTCATTGCTGAACAGTTGTACACAGCAGTCACCCAAGGTGCGCAAAAAGAGCTTGTTAAATAGCAGTATCCATTGAAGTAATCCCATCCAGATGGACAGATGTCTGAGCGTATACAAAGTAGGAATTAGTGAACTACATAATCATATTGTTTAAAATGTATAGCTTTAGGTGCAGTTATGTGCTTCGAACATCTTTGTTATTTCCATTTTTGCGATTAAAAAAAGAAATGAAAAAGCAGAAGTTTTTTGTTCAGGACAAAATAAAGGCAATACATAAGACCGCAAAAACAACTGCAAGTATTATGAAGCACACCATTATACAAATTAAGATGTATTTGGAAAAAGGGATGAACGTTGTTTTTCATCATCACCCAAATGCAATTTTTTTTTTATTTCCTCCAGTTTTTGTACATTCCTTTTCTGTATTGCTTGTATTCCTTTTTTTTTATTCAGAAAGTTGGTAAGTACTGAAGTTTATTAATTTTGTAGCAGTAGAGCTCTTACCTGACAAAACTGTGTACGTTACTGACACTGGGTCATATTTTGCTTCATATAATTCTTTGACACAAGCACGAAAGCCTGTCATGTTGATGTACTGCAAGAAAGGGATGTTTATCAGGTCATTAAGTAGTTCACACAGACGACTGACCGAGTTTTTTCTCCCTTGCTAGTAGAAAAAAAAGAACAGTTCAGGTAGGTCTTGACTAGAAGACTTTCTATATTTCTCATGTTAGCCCATGTTAAGAAGTGATCAACCCTGTTCCTTGAAGTTTGCATGACAGGGCTTCAAAGAGAAGAGGAAAGCAGGACAATTGAGTGCGCATTATTACATGTCAACAACTTAAACCTCTCATGCCATAATTGCTATAACTACTGTCAAACTTCAAATGTTTGGCGGCGAAATATGTCGCGTTCACGGGAAAGTAGACCGCGATAAACAGTAAACAGCAGATAAAAATACCCTTCATCGCACGCGTGCGAACTTTCAATAGACTTCAACTAATCATCATGGGTCACAGGAATTCGCTCTCTTAGCTCCTTCTCTCTTGCTTAACATCAATTTTAGTTTGCCCATTGCTTTTTGTTGACAACATTTGTCTCCCGGAAAAANGGTTATTTCCTTGTTTGTCCAGACAAATGATCCCTCAACGCTTCGGTCATTAAGTCCAATCCATGATCGCTCTCCATTATGACGGTGCTGTATGTAGACATTTTCTTCTTGGTTGTGCACTGTTACCAGATGTGAGTTCATTGCTGAACAGTTGTACACAGCAGTCACCCAAGGTGCGCAAAAAGAGCTTGTTAAATAGCAGTATCCATTGAAGTAATCCCATCCAGATGGACAGATGTCTGAGCGTATACAAAGTAGGAATTAGTGAACTACATAATCATATTGTTTAAAATGTATAGCTTTAGGTGCAGTTATGTGCTTCGAACATCTTTGTTATTTCCATTTTTGCGATTAAAAAAAGAAATGAAAAAGCAGAAGTTTTTTGTTCAGGACAAAATAAAGGCAATACATAAGACCGCAAAAACAACTGCAAGTATTATGAAGCACACCATTATACAAATTAAGATGTATTTGGAAAAAGGGATGAACGTTGTTTTTCATCATCACCCAAATGCAATTTTTTTTTTATTTCCTCCAGTTTTTGTACATTCCTTTTCTGTATTGCTTGTATTCCTTTTTTTTTATTCAGAAAGTTGGTAAGTACTGAAGTTTATTAATTTTGTAGCAGTAGAGCTCTTACCTGACAAAACTGTGTACGTTACTGACACTGGGTCATATTTTGCTTCATATAATTCTTTGACACAAGCACGAAAGCCTGTCATGTTGATGTACTGCAAGAAAGGGATGTTTATCAGGTCATTAAGTAGTTCACACAGACGACTGACCGAGTTTTTTCTCCCTTGCTAGTAGAAAAAAAAGAACAGTTCAGGTAGGTCTTGACTAGAAGACTTTCTATATTTCTCATGTTAGCCCATGTTAAGAAGTGATCAACCCTGTTCCTTGAAGTTTGCATGACAGGGCTTCAAAGAGAAGAGGAAAGCAGGACAATTGAGTGCGCATTATTACATGTCAACAACTTAAACCTCTCATGCCATAATTGCTATAACTACTGTCAAACTTCAAATGTTTGGCGGCGAAATATGTCGCGTTCACGGGAAAGTAGACCGCGATAAACAGTAAACAGCAGATAAAAATACCCTTCATCGCACGCGTGCGAACTTTCAATAGACTTCAACTAATCATCATGGGTCACAGGAATTCGCTCTCTTAGCTCCTTCTCTCTTGCTTAACATCAATTTTAGTTTGCCCATTGCTTTTTGTTGACAACATTTGTCTCCCGGAAAAACAAAGCAGCGGCTTACCTTCTGCTATACAGCTACAAAGCTTTTTTTAAAACACAGTTTTAACGACTTTCTATAAATCATGGCTATTTTACTAGCCAAGGGTTATGCCTGATCGTTCGCACATTTGGTATTTTATAAACTGTTATTCTCAATAGGACGCTATCTGTATTGTAAAATTGAGAGTGTTAATTACAGTCATTCGTATTTTCATAAGGTTTTTAAACATGCACACAACACATGTAAGTGTGGTTGCAAGTGGTATGTTACAGAAATTCATAAAATAAATAAAAAGTAAATAAGTAAATAGATAAAAACATACCTCTACCCACTCAGCTATGCTGTTATGAACTGGACTCTGACTTCCATTTTTGGTGGAATGATTGGCAGAAACAAACACATGTGGAGTTGAGTTATAAACTTTAGTAAAAGTAGCGTCCTGTGAAAAGAAATTACATAAATGTAAAAATTCAGTCTCTGACATTAAAATAAGGGTAAAGACTTGTTCCACATTAGGGCATTTATAATCTATATTTCATTTTCATTTTAAATGTTTACTGAAATATGACAGGCAGCCTTCTTAACTGATTAAATGCAACTACCATCACTAGAGACATGATAGGGGAACCGTTTCCTTTTGCTCTCTGATTGCAAATTTATTCAATAAAATTAAGTGCACTGTGACGGGAATTGAAACCCAAAAGACTA